AAAAAAAGGTTTTTCCCGTTTCTTTTCCAGACGACAGCTCATGCTTCTGCCAACGCTCGCCTGGTGCACCGCGGAGTCTTATTATTTTAGGATTTGCTCGACTTATTTCAACATCGAGTGTGAATTATCAGGTGCAGCTATTTGTGTCTTCGTCTTGTCTACTATACATCCATTGCTATAAATATTTTCATTTGTTGTGTACTGGCTACTTTGGCCAACTTGTGCATGTGTAGATATAGATGAACGTTGATATATCAAAGTCAATACTGATGCAACTGATATATGTCAATAAGTTGTTGAACTATTTTAATTGTTTAAGGATGAGCTTTTTTTATATGAAGAAACAAAGTTAATATGAAGAAACTTATTAGGATATTTGTGATGTCATAATGAAAAGCAAGACAATCTGATTAAACATTGTTGGATTATCAATTAAAATAAGAGCCGCATGTAAATAAAAAACTGCCTCAGTTCTTTTTCTAGTATGAAAACTGTAACTGTACACTGGAATAATGGTTAACACTGCAATGTGGAATTTTTTCTGCAATTTTCTGGTCGTATACCTTCATCCATACCCCTAAAGGATTTCATTTGCACATTTTCATCAATTTGTCTCGACTTTTTTTTTCTTCCTACAGGTTCATGTTGGGGAATACGGTGTGCACTGGAATTTCTTTTTCACTCTAGCTGCCGTGGCAATTCTCACATTCATTATTAATGTGCATCCAAATTATTGCGGGATTTTAGGCTCCTTGATCCTCATTGGTATGCTGTCTACTTTACTCTGCCAGTGTTTGAATGACAAACTAGATAAATTGTTTGATTTCTTCATTTAACACGGATAAATTTATGTGTAATATCAGGATATCAAGCTTTACTATTGTGTGGGCTGAATAAATTTATCATGTCGGAAGAAAGGAAACCAGATATCTTTAGTCAAAACAAGGAAGGAATATTTAGCATATTTGGTGAGGATCTCTCTGTAAGTAAATTAAAGTACTCTGGATATTCATTGTTCATGTATCTTTTGTTTCTTTTTCTATTGCAACTTCGATTTTGCATTTTTCTTTCCATTGGGAAGATGAAACTAACTTAAACATCCTAACCTGAAAGTGTGAACATCCCGTCTGAGTATTAAAAATCTAATGGCTTTAAAGTAGTTGTTTTTATGTAACCATTTGATAACCGTGCATAGTTCTTACATGACATTTAAAGATTCCTACATGACGTTTAAAAATCCCTGCGTTACATTTTAAGTCTTTAACTGAAGTATGTACAACCTAGTTTGAGCTGCTTTTCCAGTCCCAGATGCATGATTACCCATTACCATTTTCAAGATATAATCATAAAAATATAGTAAAGTTCGTTTGTTTTTAAATTCTTATTTAGTTATTTTCACAATTTATTGTCGAACTTTTCTTGCCTTCAGGGTATTGGGGTATGTATCTTGTTGGTGTCAGAATAGGAAGCTATCTCTTCTTTGGAGGCAATGCTGATGCTACGTTAAAAACCAAGAAATGGGCAGCGACTAGAGTTTGGGCTCTTTGCCTTTTCTTCTGGTATGAGGGCTCGATTTTGGTCTCTTTAATTGCTTATATATCATCTAGTTATTTGAATTACAAAGCAGTTTGATTTCCTTCTCTTGTCACAGGTTGATAACTTTGCTTCTAGACTGGTACGTCGAAGCAGTATCTCGGAGAATGGTACTTTTTCCTTTTCTTTTTCTTTTTTTCTCTCTTTTTATTTTTTTATTTTTATTTATTTTTATTTTTTATTTTTTTATTTTTTATTTTATCATTGTACTCCCTTTTCGTAAAAGAGATAACTTCAAAATCTCTACGCAGTGCAACTTGGCATATGTTACTTTCACTCTGGCTGCCAACCTTCAGGTAATTGCGTCTTGCTTCACTAAATACATGGAACTGTTACTATTAGTACAAATAATATGATGTCATCAATGACGAAGAACAAGAGCAACAATAAAATGAACTCAAAACATGATCTTCGTGTGATTGAAGTGCCTGAAGTTAGCCTATCTGGTGACATTGAAAAATGTTTTTGTGATATTTAATCTGATTTTGGCTTCAAAAACAATGCATCAATTCATAAACTTTCATCTTTGTCTTGAATATTAGTAACTTACTGAATATGTAAGAGCACTATTTGCCCGTATTACAAAAAGCTTCTTTTGATTCTTTCTGAAGCAAGATGATTTCAGCTTGTCCTTTAATGTGTGCTGAATATAAGAACATAAGGCAAGTGCTTGATATATTATTTTATGGGAAATCTCAACTTAGTCGCTATGCTGCACGGACACTTCTAGAAGGTGAAGAGTCCCCGTATCCGATACCTGGACACTCGGACACTCCCGGACACTTCTCGGACACCCGTGTCGGGCCGTGTCGTAATTTCGCTAAAAGTAGGACACCCGTATCGGGCAGTGTCCACAATTTTAAGAAAGTTGAGACACTTTTCTTACGTTGTAAGAGAGAGCCCTAATAAAAAAAAATGCGCATTTTCTTTTCTTTGTAATACACATTTCCTCTGTTTTCTTTGTGAGTCCACCCAAAACTCCAAAAGTCTAGCATGCGACGGCGATCAAGAACACGAGCAACAAGGGCGAGTGGTTCTCTTATGCGATGACGACTTATACATATTTTTTACAATTATAAAGGTACCCCTATATTTTTATTATTTAATAAATATACCCCTATATTTTTTATATTTACGCGTATCCCCCACGTGTCCGTATCCTAGTTTTTTA